ACGAGACGAGAGGCTGGAGCTGTACGCTGGACACAAGACTGATGCTGTTTTATTTAAACAGAGAGGAGAGCTACAAACAAGGAGGAGGAGACAAGAGGAGAGGAGACGAGAGGAGACGAGACGAGACGACAGTAGAGGAGACAAGGAGGGGTAAAAGGAGAGGAGAGGAGATAGAAGGGCAAGTGAGTACAGGAGAGGAAACACGACAGGAGAGGAAACAAGAGAGGAGAGGAGAGGAAATTAGATAAAAGGAAAGAAGAGAGGAAACAGGGGAGGAGAGGAGAAAAGAAGAAAAAGAAAAAGGAAATTAGGGTGAAAGGAAAGGAGAAAGGACACAAGAGAGGAGAGGAAAGGAGACGAGACGAGACAAGAGGAGAGCTATAAACAAGAACAAGGATAAAGAAGAAGGGCACTTGAAAGGGGAGAAAAGAGAAGAGGAGAGGAAACAAGGGGGGAGAGGAGAAAAGATTGAAGAAAAGGAAAGGAGAGAAAAAACTAGAGAAGAGGGGAAAGGAAACAAGAGAGGACTGGAAAAAAAATGACAGAAAAGGGAACATAAGAGGAGCAGAGAAAAGATGAAAAGAAAGGAAACATCAAAGGAAAGGAGAGGAGAGGAAAGGACACAAGAGAGGAGAGGAGATGAAATGAAATGAAACAAGAGGAAAGGAGAGAAGAAACAAGGGATGAGAGTCGAAAATATGGGGAGAAAAGAAAGGAGAGGAAAGGAAACAACAGAGGCATGAAGAGCAAAGGAAACAACAGAGGAGAGGAGAGGAAACAACAGAGGAGAGGAAACAACAGAGGAGAGGAGAGGAAACAACAGAGGAGAGGAAACAACAGAGGAGAGGAGAGGAAACAACAGAGGAGAGGAGCCGTGATGAAGAGGAAACATCTGAGTCACTGTAGTTAAAAATACACACTCATCAATAAAAGATCCTCCACGTCGCCTGAACAGAATAAAACAGCATCTTTATGAATGAATCAGACGAAACATGATTATCACTTAATAACAGCAGCACCTGAACACAACACTGTTCAACAAGCCACAGATGTCAGACTTTTCCACCGGCACATGAATGCAGCATCAGAGTTGTTGCTGAATGGTTCCTCAGACTCAAATATAAAAGACGAAATAAGTGATCATTTCAGGAGAAAAATAAATTTAAGATTCACATATTGTTGGATATGTGGAAAGTAATGTTAATTAACTAATTAATTAATTTCTGCAGCATAAATATTTTCTCCAAAAATAAATATTTGTACTTCTTCTTGAAGAGCTTTAAAAAAGGGATTTAAATTCTTCCCAGAGGCAGTGAATGCAACATGAAGAGGAGCTGCGATGAAGAGGAGGAGCATCAAACGCTGACTCGTTACATAAATAAAAGAATGGTTAAACGGCATCACACACTGACAACTTTGTTTCAGCTGCCTTCAGGAGGAGGTTAGCAGACAAACAAGTAGGGAATGGAAAAGGGTTCACGTTCTGTCTCTCAGCAGCGTCGTCTCCTAAAAGTTACGTTCCAATAATAATCAAAGTCCACGTAAATCGAATCGAAGGCACGGAGGTGATAGTGGATGGACGGGACAAACACAGGACTCTCACCCAGGAAAACGCTGTTCCATAACCACCATCTTTCACTCACCCTAACCAAGCAAGGAATGCTCAACGGTTCGTATGATTATGTTACTATCGGCTGTCTTTATACCAGATGTTGTCAAACTCTTTGCTATTTTGTGTAATGTGTAAAAAGTGTCCGTGTCTACCTTGAGCTGCACCAGGTGGACGTCCACGTGTCTGTTGACGCTGTCTTGTCCCACAGAGTGCGAGAGCTGGGTGACTCGGTTGCCGGTCACTCTCAGCCACGTCTCGATCTCCGGCAGGTGGAGGACGACCTTCCAGTCGGCTCCGGTGTGGAGGGGCGGCGGTTTCTTTGACCTGAGACGCCACAAACACGACTACAGTTAGCTTCAACTCTACCGACTCTTTACCACAGTTCACTACCTGCTCAGACGGACACACGTAGAGACTAGCTGGTGAACTAAGTGGAGCATTTAGCAGCTAAAGACACGTTGGTGGTGGAGACCAAAACCAGAGCTAAAGTAGAAAAAACGCCACTCCAATGAGATAACCCGTGTCTGCTGGATGTGTAAATATATAGCTGTCTCTGCAAAAACATTAGCCATAACAAGGTTTTTATGATGATAATATCTCAGGTGTGTGTGTCTGTCAGCTTGTAGTGGTCAGATAAAGTCCATTAAAGAAGCTTTAAGTGGAGAAAGTGGAGATTTCTCACTACTTTAACAGACATTTTTTATCTGTTTTAAAACTCCAAAAAAGGCAAAAAACAAAGATAGGAACCTCTTATTTACCTGAGATGCTTTTAAGTTAGATAAATGTCTACTCACGACCCCTTTGTCACAGGTTCCACAGACTGTTTTAATCTGAATTGTTGCAGAGGCCCAAAGAGGCAAAACTATCCAGCATTTCATGTAATAAAAGTTGGTGTAAATATTCCAGAAGTTCAGGACGAAATAAACATTATTTGTACGTTTTTTTAATCATATTCTGAACTTCTTAATCATCATAACTCCTAAGATTTAAGGAACATTTGCTTCAGACTATTTGATGATTTAAAAAACTGAGAAAGATAAGTCGTCGTCGTCATCGCGGCTGATTTGTTACCTCTGGGAGGGGTCTCGTCCCAGGTGAGCTCCTCCCCCAGTGAGGCTGCCCCGGCTGGGGCCCGGGCCGGGCGACGAGGCCCCGTCCTGGTGCCGATGCTCCGGGTCCAGGCTGAGAGGGGCGGGGCTGACGGCGGCAGGGCAGGTGGAGGTGTCGGGGTCCAGGGTCGGGGTGACGGAGGTCACCATCGGGGACGGAGGCTCGGGGGCCACGGGGGAGAGGGCGGCGAAGCTCATGGTGGAAGATAGAGATAGATAGATAGATAGATAGATAGAAAGATAGAAAGATAGATAGATAGATAGATAGATAGATAGAGAGAGAGAGAGAGAGAGAGAGAGGATTCCTAATGTGGGTGGACGAGCCTCACTGGAGTAAACTGGAGAAAAGGACAGAGAGAGAGGTCGTCAAAATAGGTTATAGAGAATAGAGAAGGAACAAGTTAGGAAAGAAGACAAGAATATGAACGGGGACGTTAGGGAGGAAATGAATAAAGAATAAAGTGAGGTGTAAACTTAAATCAGATTCACAGACTGTAGTTTCATTACTTGCTTGCGAGTGAAGGTACTGAACTCATATTGGAAACATTGAAAATATGTTATTTGTATCTGGAGTATTATCAAACAGAACACTACAGCTGACGTGTTAAACACGGAGAGTTTGGAATGAGAACCGAGAGATTGAAGGAAATAGCTGTCAGTCAAAACAAGCTTTTCTGTTCCACCAAAAGAAATGAGGTTGAATTACGCCCTACCAGGAAAAGAGCCCACTGAGCCACTGGTGGGCTTTTATTGTGAAATATCTGAGCGAGAAGTTTCCCACAAAAACAAGTTTCATTGAAAGAATGAATTAGTGATCAGTGTATCAGTAGCACAGATGCTAGCACGACTGTGGACATTTAGAGGAAAACGTTCTCACTGCAGGTTTAAAACTCAAGCTGGTTGCAAAACACAAATGTAAAAACCTCTCCATCCTCCATCCTCCCGGGCGTTTGAAGACGTAATAATCCCAGAGTTATAAAAGCAGACGAGTAATCCGGAATGTTCCATATGTGGAAGATCAAACATGAGGTCATGATGACAACAAACTCTTTTTCTGTCTCTCAGTCAGCGCTCCGTTTTCTCTCACTTTCTCTCTCTCACATGTCTGACACAGCATGGCACTGCACACACACTGTCTGTGTGTGTGTGTGTGTGTGTGTGTCCCAGCCTTCATCTCAGCTGTGGCTCTAAATCCTTTTTAAGCACCAGCCGACGCAGCGAACAGACAAATAAAATGTATAATTCATGTCCTCTTTTTCTCTGAATAAAATATGCGTCCAGCTCTCAGTTCAGCTCGTCTGCAGCTTGAACTTCATAATACAAATATTAAAACAACAGAGCGCTGCTGCACGGGGAAAATAAATACGTCTTCTTCATTTCCTGAATTAAAAAGTTAAGATGAACATGAATTATGTAAAAGAAAATGTGCGGCTTTAAATCAGGTTTTATTAAATATTTATTTGATCTATGAACCAAACTTATCTGTGGTTGTTATTTAACAACTACAATAAATATAAAAATAAGTAAATGTCTGTAATACTCCAGTTGCATTAATTGAACTATAATAATCAATCAACAAACTGGTCAAAGTCATAACTTTTAATGAAAATAAAAACTGATAATGCATGAGTGGTTTAAGTAATTAAGTTTACGTATTTAAAGTTGACTTTGCCATTTTTAAATAAAAGATAGACGTAAAATCATTAAGCCAAGATGTGAATGACATAAAAAACTTGAATATAGTCGGTGTGTGTTTGGTCTCATTGTTCTCCAGAACAGCTTTGTTTCTTACCATCGATCAAAAGAACACAATCAGAATCAGCTTTATTCCATGTATGCTTACGCATACATGGAATTTGTCTCCGGTTTCCACTCCGCTCTCAATGTACAAACACAGATTTACAATAAACAAGACAATATATATATAAAGAATAAAAAAGGCAGCAAAAAAGTAGAACGGATGTAGGTATAGACATTTAGCTATATACAATATAAGTATAAAGAGAAAAAGTGTATATATATATATATATATATATACGTATATACATGTGAACATAAACCTATAGACAATGGCATGAATTATAAGTGGTGGTAATAGTGGTGGTAATAGTGCAGTAATAGTGCAAATGGAGGTTGTTAATGATTCATAAAGATACAACTTTAACTGTTAACTTCTGGCACACAAGAGCTGCGTGAATGAACCTCTCTTCCTCACGTTTACCGTGAAAAATGTCTCGGCTGCAGTAAAATAGGGTTTTACTTTGCAGTCTCATCATTGCTGCACCTACCAACAAATATCCCACAAAAACAATTGTATTCAACATAATCATGAAGCAAAGAGCGGGCAGGAGTCGAGATGGACGAGTCGAATAAATAACTGGTCTTTTCTGCTGGAGACCGCTGTTCATGCCCCCAAGAAAACGAGACGTCAACATTGATTTATTTGTCACTTCTGTATTTATTTTAACCTAAACAACGATATTTTCCTAAACCTAAATAAGTTGAATTTATGTCTTATGCACTGTTTATTATCACCAAGCCAAATGGCTTGTATGTGCAAACGTACTTGGCAATAAACAATTTCTTATTCAGATTTTTCTAAATCTAACTAAGTAGTTTAGTTTCCTAAACCTAAGTTGTTTCCTGTGAAGACGGAAGTTTATTTTGAAAACACTGTATTCATGTAACGAGCAGAAATGAACACGTGTTGCTGGACTTTTGTAGGAAAACACACAAAAAATGAGGAACTTTTTGTAAGATATCATATGAACCGTTGTTTGTTGTATCAGTGTGTGAAATCTCCTACTCTGCAGTGACTCTTCTATTGATCCGCGTTAGCAGCAGTGAAGCAGAGAAACGATGTCAGTGGAGCAGCAGAACAGAAGGATTACTGACGGAGACCCGGGTCAAACCAGTCCAGCAGAGGACAGGGACCAGAACGTCACTTTATGAGACCTGAGTGTGGAGCCAATAAGAAGGCCCCGATCTGAGTCCTTTAATATTATTGTATCTGCATAATACCTAATGTGAGAAAACCACTTCCTGTTTGTGAGGCATGACATCATCAGCATTGCCATGACATCATCAGCCACATGACCACAGAGAGGGAGGTGATGAGGAGCAGGAGTAGAGATGATGACACTGATGATCATCGTGATAACTGAACTATGACAGCGGTTATGACACTGATCACGTGACTCAGATGAATAACCGTTATTGATTGATTATAACCTCTCTGTTACGCCACAGGATCATTACTGTGATGTAAATATAGCTTTGAGTCACAGATTAATAAATCATGTCTTCAAACTAATTTATATGAAAACATTCTCATAGTTTCATGTTTCTTTAATTTACTAAACATATTTTTGTTCACCACTGCTCCAGTTTTATTTTATTTATATTTAACTTTCAGTAATCTATTACTCAGTTAGTAATAAAAAGCTTAATAATATTTCCAAGTCAATGGAGAGAGGTCGTCCTACAGAAGACTGGGAGACAAATGTGTGCTAATTGGAAAACTTAAACTGAGTTAATGAATAAGAAGTGAACCAAATTAACTCTGTTATTCCTAGAATTAGTACCAAAGCGCGCGCATGCATATATATATATATATATATATATATATATATATATATATGCTTAGAACTCCGTTATATAGAAAAGACAACGACTTCCTCTTTATGATACAACAGAGCCGATGTTCATGTTCACTTCATGAGAACGTAAAGACGTCATTTTACTGAAGAGAGGCAGACAGGCCGGACACGTGATAGCACCATCACACACACATGCACAGTATACACAAACACACACATTATCACGAACACACACACACACACACACACATACACAGTATAAACACACATACACATTGTCACAAACACAGTGCTTTAATCTCTGTGTGTTTTAAACATCTCAGTTTCAGAAGACACTCGTGTTACAGAAATCTTCTTGTTTAACATCGTCTGATCCTCACTGATCTCGGTGAGTCGGTGAGTCGGTGAGTCGGTGAGTCAGTGAGTCGGTGAGTCGGTGAGTCGGCACTCTGGGATCTGATTCATCTGTCTTCTGTGAGATTAAAGCTCAGATTAAAGCCACGCTGGGACGGATTTCTTTTATGTAACACAGCAGCTGTTTTGATTCTACAAAATGTATCTCGATTGAAGCTTGAATGTGAGATTCACTTTGTGGTAAATTTGTGATTTAATAATAAAAAGTAGTGTATTTTACATCAGCTGGGATGCTCTGGTAGCTACACGTCGAATGCAGTCACTGGATAGAAATCTATAATATTATATTTAATATGTTGAGTATCAGGATGCTCGTGAAGAATAAGAAGCGCTACATTTAAAAGGCTTTAGCTGCTGATTTAATGTGTCACATTCATATTTAACCAACATTCAGAATCTTGTGTTTCCAAAAACAGAAAACTATTTCCCTTTGTGTTTTAGTGCATTAATATAAACATAGTGAGAAAACAGTCGACAAACATAAAGAAGATAGAAAAAGAACGACATAAATATAAAAAAATACATCAGATTTTATATTATTATATTTAAGACATATTAGAATAATCTGTTTGCCAAAGACTCATATATGATCTATTTAACGGTGACAGTTATAAACACGTGGTTTTCGTTATTGAAGGTAGACTTCTGGTTTCACAGGACACGTACAGTGGTCTCCTGGGTGAAAGTCTAAAGACTGTGATTACAAACGAGTTTGTGATACGACTCTAAAACCAAGTGATCTGGGAGAACACGGGTTCCCTTTGAACCTAATGTACGACGCAATGTTGTTGTTTGTGAACGTAGAGTTCAGGAGTTCATCTCGGTTTCTCCAGATAAAGTAACTGACTTCCATCCTCAACATCCAATACTTTCTTATTTCACCTTCAAATCTCACTGCTGTGTGTGTCGAGGGCGTTGCTGGTGAACTTTCTAACTAAAGAGTGAACTCTGTCGAGTATTACACGACTAACTTTTACTCGTAAGGACTAAAAACAAAATGGTGTTTTTTCTGTAAAACAGCAAACAGACTATCCTGCCACACCCTCAGCAGCACGACGATCACCTGCAGACAGGACTCAGGGTGAACCAGGCGCTCAGCCGCCGTGATGTCATCAATCATTTACAGCAAACCAAACGTTGTGTTACGGTTAAAGTCATAGAGGGAGAGTGTGACGCCGGGACTTTAAATAAAACAGTGGAGGAAGACAAATACAGCAACGACACACCCTGCAGTCACTGAGGTACAACAGGGTGTGTGTGTGTGTGTGTGTGTGTCTCAGAGGTCCTCCAGCCCAGCCCCACCATGAATAATGCATCACAGGGGA